AGTCTCATCTCAAGTCTTCTTATTGGCATTTTATTGAAACTTGGGAAATAAAAGTGCCATATACCCTCATACCATCCCAGACAAATGGCTGTCCAATCTTTTCTTGAACACTTTCAGTGATGGAGCACCCAGGACTTCAAGGGCAGGCTGTTTCATTGCTTAATGGCCGTCAGTCAGGAAATTCCTCCTTATTTCAAGTGTGGATCTCCCATTGTAAAGCTTCTTCCCATTAGTTCTTATCCTACAGGGACACAGTGACCAGAAGTGGACACAGTATTCCAGATGTGGTCTGACCAGTGCAGTGCAGTGGTACTTCCAGCATTCTTGACACTATACCTGTATTGATGCAGCCCAAAATGCACCCCTTGCTGTTTTGGCAGCTGCAGCACATTACTGGCTCAGGCTTAATCTGTGGTTTATCAAGACACCCAGATCCTTCTCACAAATGCTACTGCTAAGCCAGTTACTGTTAATCTTGTACCTGCGCATCAAGTTTTTCATGCTTAAATGCAGAACCTTACATTTCTTACCACTGAACAACATTTTGTTGGATAGGACTCAGTGTTCAAGTCTCATAAGATTCTTTTGAATCTTGGGCCCGACTTCTGGGATGGTAGCAATCCTCCCTCCCCCAGCTTTGTGTGGTCCACAAATGTTATAAGCATCCCTTCTATTCCCTCATCTAAGTCATTTATGAAGATGTTGAAGAGCACTAGGCCTGGACCAAACCCTAAGGACCCTACCACATACCTCCTTCCACATGGACATAGATCCATGAAGGACCATGAGTTAATTATGGTTGTTCAACCAGCTATGAACCCATCTGGTAGTGGGACTATCCATCCCACATTGTTCCAGTATATTAAGGAGGCGGCTATGGTCTATTTTACCGAACAACTTACTGAAGTCTAAGTACGCTGCATCCAGAGCATTCCCTTGGTCACATTCTAGTCACATGTAAAAAAAGCAGTAAGATTTGTCTGGCACAGCCTGTTTTAAGCCAGTCTGTACCAGCTTCTGTTAATCACCATGTTTGTTTCTAAGTGTCTGCAAACTCACTGCTTGATTATTTTTTCTAGGACTTTCCCAGCATCTCTTCTCATGAAATCATGGAAATGCAGGAGCTGTTCCCCTATAGGAAAAGGAAGGGGGTGGTTCCCTCATAGGACTGGTTATGAGGAAACCACACAGGTAGCTTCTGTTGAGTCAGAATCCTGCTTCAATAAAAGGCAGTAATGAGCTTTGAAAAATCCACATGACTTTTTCATTCACACACTTCTAGTACAGTATTCGAAAAACAGAGCTCTGATTTTTAGCATTACCATGGAATATCCACCAGCTACAAACAGATCACCAAAATCAGCAAAGACTTTTCAAGGGACTTTCTCAATTTATGAGGCCATGTCAGAATCCAGACCGGGTGGCTCTGGTGGTAGCTCACTAGAGACAGCAATCTTAACAATGGGATGTTATCATGGTATCAAACAGTTATCATTATATTTCCCAGGTTTTAATTATCAGTAAAGGTTTTTAAGCATGCAAAAATACACATTATGAAATAAGAATGACATGTCTTTCTGCATGATGGGCCCAAAGTCACCCAGCAAACTTTGATGGGTGAAGGTGGCCCAGAACCTGAATCTCAAAGAAATGCCACACTACTTCAGTTAGCCATTCCTTAGCAATGGGTTCCCAGACCAAGGAAGGTTTTTACCTTGCAAAATTAGGGACCTCTCCCTAACCTTTCACTCTTGATCTCTCCTCCTTCCTTATATATCACAAGGGCCATGAAGTCACCTTGAAAGTGCTACCACCAAATTATACGACTTGGCTACAGAGAAAGAACTTGCAGCTGTAGGGCCTTATTTATGGAATGCCCTCCCTAGAAAACCACACCTCATGTCTAAACTCATGCCTTTTGGGGTGCTGGAGACTCTCCTCTTTTTCCAGGTATTTTTAAAGTTTTCTAACTTAACCTCATTTTAAGTATCCTCCTTGGACAACAATGGTGAATCTCACGTCTCCTGTGTTGTTAACTGCATTTTGTTTTCTCTCTTTCCTTCTTTCTAATATCTTTAAACATTTTTGTAATATTGTCCTCCACACGGAACGCTGTGGTTACCCAATGAACTGGAAATATATTAAGTAATAACCTTAAAGTTGATTTGGAGGTCTCAGCTCAGTTCTGTTTTTTCTAGAGAACCGGTTGTTGGGGCACAGTGACATATCAATTTAAAAGGTTGCTTTGGTGTTGTTGCCCAAAGGTCAGAGCCATCTCTCTACAGCCAGCTTTGAACTCAGAGTTTACCTGGCTCCACTCCTCACAGCTTCTTTGCTCAATACTGTCGGTCGCTCGGCTGTTTCTTGCAACGGTTACCAGCCATAACTATGAAAGGAAATTATTAAAGTGTAAAAGCTGTGTTAGGGAGGGCACGCAGCCTTCCTTTGCCAAGGTTTCAGCACACAGAGAAAGCACGTATAGATAGCTAATAATAGGGGTGATGGGGGGAAAGTTCTTAAAGGGAGATTATAAAAGGAGAAGAGGCAAACAGCTTAAGAATTATATACAGAAAGAAAACTTCATACACTGGTACAGATCACAAAAGATGTTCTTGAGTGTTGAGGTCCCTATGGAGTAGCATCCAATCTAGAGAGACAGGATTTAGTTTAAACTGATAGGAGTCTTTGCATTCGCAGACAGTAGCTTGATAAACAGAATCGAACTGAAGCAAGAAGATGGGGCATGGGTAGGGAAAGGTAATTCAAACTACTACTTCAATAGATTATTTTTCTAAAAGGTAATGGCATTTCATTCGGAGAGATTGCGTACATAGAAAATGCAAAGCGTGACAGATAAAAGCTATTTGGCTTTATTTGAATGAAGTTAAAGGTACATACAGCATAAGGAATGTACTCATGTCAGATAAACATTTAATTTTTATTCAAACTCTGTAACACCTCAGTATCTTAAAGCAAAGATACACCATAAATCTGGCATAAGCACATTTCATCAGCTACCTGATAATCAGTGCAATGGAAATGAATTTTAATAAAGACATTTCATTTCAAGTCCACCTGAATTAATATTCCATGCTATTTGGAATCTCTTTAACTGCATTAAAATTACTGCTAAATCAGACCCATGTTCACACAAGCCAAGTCCCTTCTGTTCTATGTGAATACAAGCAGCCTTGCTCCCTTATTGAATGTTGAAGTTCTCCACCTCCTTGAAAGGATTATGTAGCGTTTTCAGAATACAAAATGGAGAATTGTGCTGGATGTTTCCACATCCAGTCAGAGCAGAACAAAGCAAGCATGCCAGAAAGATTGATACATCATCTTTCTGACATCCTAGCACACTATAAGTAAACTTTTTTATTATTTTTGTGGGAACATTCAATTTTTCCACTTCCTATACTGCCAAGGACTACTGAGACCGTAAAAACTGTTCCCATCAGAATATGACGTACCTTCATAATTTAGCATGAGGTTCCTTTATTTGTGATTGCAGTGTGTGTGTGTGTGTGTGTGTGTGCGTGCGTTTATTTATTTATTTATTTAAAAAAGCACCTTCAGAATCACCTCCAAACCAGGGGGTCAAAATAGCACTAGGAAATTCATCCATTTTGCTACCAAACTCAGGGCAGTGGACCCTCAGATGTGGTCTGGGGGTTCCATGCAACTCACAGGCTACCAACCTGGCTTGGGGTTTAAGAGACATACTTGGTTGTTACAACCCCGCCTGGTTATTAAATAAGAAAACATTTTTCTTCTTTATAATACTGCTGTTTTACAAGCCTGTTTCTTAGAAGTATGAGGAAAGTCTTTTTCCTTGGTTATCCCAATTTGTAACTGCCACTCCTTCCCCATCCTTTGGCAGCCAACCTGAAGAGGTGCCGTTTTGCATTATCCTACGCGCTTCCTCCACAGTTCTCAACCTTTTCTTTTATGTGGACCACCATCAAAAGCTTTTGTGGCAACACTTTGTGGTTGGGTAATGGCATCTATAAGACCCAAAATTAAATAAGGATGAAATCTCTCACCAAATTTTGACTACACTCACTTGTACCATGGCCCAGCATAGGGAACGATGGTGCTAAACGATTCTGGGATCCTTAAAAATTAATTCATAACTGAGTAGTATCCATGTTAATTGAACAGTTGCAAATGCCACTTCACAGAATCCTGCTCCCCAAAGATGTGAAAATAGTCCTCTTTTTAAAAAGGATTGGAGGGGAGAGGGCACCATGAGTTGCAAGCCAGTGAAATGGGCTGTTCCTATTTATATAGTATTGAACAGCATGTTAGAAGGAAAAAAACAATAGCCAAGCTTACTGAAGAACTAGTCTTCTTGAAAAGAAACCGAGATGGCTTCTGCAGACTTAAGTTTTGTCTTCCTAAGGTCATAGACTATACTGAGAATGTAAGAAAATATGTTGACATTATATACTTGGACTTCCTGAAAGCCTTTGTCAACATGCCCTCATTAAAGGCTCGGGGGGGGCAGGGGGTAGGGGAGAAATTAAAACACTCAACAACCACAGGGTAGGAAGAAAGATCTCTAAGGGATATGTACTGGCCAGAGAACCTGAGAGAGTAAGAATGAGTAGACAGAGGTTCAAATTAGAAAGGTGTTCTAAATATTCTTCATCTGTTCTTAAAACAGTGAAGAGGGAGTGAGTCATGAAATTCTTTTGATCTCACAGTATTGAAAGGAGACTGTGAAGTAATGCTCTAAGTGGCTCCAGTTCTACAACATCATGTGGCTTATGAAACATGGCAGAACCCGAACGAATCACTTGTGTTCAGAGATCAAAGCAAAGATACTGGCCATATCCAACCAATTTAAGTGGTTTTGTGCCCAGGCTCTTTTCTTTCACTATGAAAACCATCTTTATATAAGCAGACTTTCCACAACGGTTTTGAAACTCCTGTTCAGCTCAGCGGCTCCCTAGGAGGATGCATGCTGACGCACCCAGCGGTGTTCTCCATACCGCTCCTTCTCCTAGGCTTTATCCAACGTGAAGCCTCCACTTGCCTTCTACAACACCCAGGACCGTCCTGGCGCCTCTGCAACGGCGCTACATAAAAGAGGACATGGAAGGGAGTACTAAATGGTTGCAATTAACATTCACCCTGCTCCTGCAACTGAGTTCCATTGCTATAGCAACTGGAGTTGCCCAGACGACACAAGGGCTCTGGCTTCAGCTTGTGTACAACATAATCACAACTGAACAGAATAGCTCCAGTTCTGGCCCATGCATTTGCCTGCTGGCACTTTAAAATGTTCACTTTATTTTTCAGGATTAATTAAGAAATTATGTCTTGATTTTCCTAGCATTCAGTACCTCTAAGTGTAATTAACGAGGAAGATTTGAAAGAACTCAATTTCTGCTTTCCTTTAGAAAACGATAAAATAAAATAAAAACATGCCCTGGAATGCAGCCAGAAAGCCAAACAGGAGTTCTTTCAAATATGCAAATTCTCACAGGTGGCTAATATTTTAAAGCAGCTCATAGAAAAGGGGATAAAATATATTTATTCCCAAGCAATAGAGCTGGTCCAAATGTAGTCTACAAGCTTTTCTATGGGATGAGCTTGGAAAGCCAAGATAAGAGCGCACAACCATTTAATTATCTCAAAGTGTGTGATTTTTAAATTGAAACGCACTTACGTTAACTGAAATTATATCAGGAATCAATACATGATAAAATAGCCATTTATTTTTTATAAAATTCTACTGAAGCAAGGAAATCTGAAAGATTGAGTGCCATTTTGGGCTGGAACTTACACCATGTTTAACAAAAACTGACACCAAATTTCCCAAATGTTTCAAGTATTTTGCCACTGCTTTCTTGTCAACCAACAGAATCCTTCACATAATAGTTAAATAGAAACAGTTAAAAACAACCTGCACAAGGTGATCTCAGAAACCTAAAGACTGAACTGTTGGCAATAAAACATGAAAAAAAACGGGATGAAAGAAAAACCCTTCAGATACTAGCTTCTCCAATACTGGGTGGGACAAGATACAACTGCATAAAATCCAGTTATTTTACTGAACTGGAGCCAAAGTATCAACACTGGTAGGTAGGGCAAGCCATTCTGTTTGGTTTGCATTAAGAAAACCAAAAAGGATAGGGCATGAACACAGCCAGCTCTTGTTAGGAAACAGGCGCCTCATTTCACTACAGTTTCTGACAGACTGAGAAACTTCAGAGGAGAGATGCAAGAATGTTAAATAGTAGAAAGGGTAATTATAGGTATTGGAACATCTGTCCATTTAGAGGTTCAAGGCAGTTAATACCATATTACATGAATTATAAATTTGCACTGTCCAGACCGTTACACACACCCTTTACAGCAAAGCATCATTTGGTTTATATATTTTGCTAAAACAAGGGCTGCTGAAAGGACCACCTGATACATTTCACAATCTTCCATTCAAATTTATGGCCAATTTACAGTTGAATGCACCTCTTTCATGCACTGGTGACACTTTCACATGCTGTATTTTAAAAAAAAGCATGTTAAAAGGACATTAGCCTAGAGTAAACCACTTTCTGTTTAGACCGGGGGGAGAAATTTATGGTCTTCCAGATGTTGAACTACAACTAGCATTTTTCTCAAGATAATTCATCTTTAAAATGAAAAGGTTGTCTTAGGTGTGCTGAGATTATGGTAACAGAGAAGGTTCTATGGGAGAAAGCATTTTTTAAAATTCAGGGCTGTCTTGTTTTGCACACTATTCACACCAAGAATATACTTATATACTTCTCTGAAGATATATAAGCATAATATATGAAGAGGCAAACTGATTAATAAATGGACTATACGACCTGAAGCTGTTGTATAAAGTGGTTTTCAATTCAGATTCTGCAGATATGAAAGTAGTTAATGTTCAAGGAACAGACCTTTCTGCTTTATTTGACACATGTAAAATAAATGAGTGAATAAAGTAACACTCAGCAAGGTTTAGAAATAAATGCAATTTTTCTCCTTCTGTTGAAGTCTTATCAACCCTATTTTATTGGATTTTGTTTGATAACCCTCTTCAGGGTGAAAAGTGGAATATAATTGTTCTTTTCAATAAATAAAAAGGAATCCAGGTTTTCATAGCTAATGAAATTTGGTAAACCAATTATCATCAGAATAAGTGGGAAATTATGCACCTTCCTTTTCACAGAACTGTGAAGATACAATGATTAACTTCAAGGCCAAAACAGAGGACGTGCCTAGTGAATATTCCGGGGAACAAAAAAGATACGCTATATGCAAGCTACAGGTAGTCCTTGCTTAACGACAATAGAAACAGGAAAATTGCTCATAAAGCAGGACAGTCATTGAGTGAGTTATCATGTGACCAGACCTGATTTTATGTCCATTTTTATGATGCTCGTTAAACAAATCACCATGGTTGTTAAGCAAATCACGTGGCTGGTAAGTGAATCCACCTTCTCTAATGGACTTTTTTTGCAAGAATTCATATAACAACCATGTGATTCACTTAACAACCATGGTGATTCACTTAATGACTGTCATAAAAGGTCACAAATTGTGAACATGTGACCACGGGCTGCACCAGTTTGCAACAGTCTTAAGTACGAGTACAGGTCGTAAATCACTTTTTCCGAGGCTGTTGTAACTTTGAACCATCATTAAACAAACAGTTGTTAAGCAAGGACTACCTGTATAGATAAATCTCAGGTTTTAGATCCAGCTGAATTCTTGAGCCTTACGTATCATCTGGTTTAACTAGAGCTACTAGACCTGGGCTGGGAAACTCCAGGTAACCGTTGGGTGGCAGTAAGGAGCTAAAAGTCTGCTGCGATCTATTGGTCACATGAAGGTTTGCAGCCCAACTCTGACAGCCCTTGTTTTATCTATGAAACATTAATGTCATAAAAACCTATTTAGTAGCAGTAACAGCTTTGCTCCACTGGCCTGGCTTTCAACTGCATGCCTCAGTCAAAAATAACTAGCCTCAGAATAACATTTTCATTTCTCTCAGTACTGATGCCAAACATACAATATTGCACTGATTGATTGATTGTGGTACGAATGTATTTATAAATGTTTATAGATTTTCATGTTTTTTTATCTCGAGATGTTTAAATTATCCACACAGTTGCCCTCCAATTCAGTAAGACACAGGCTTGTGAATGCTTTAGTTAAAGAGCACTTCAAGTAGAACCTAATTTCACAGCAGGGAGGAGTTGCACCTAGAAATAAAAGGGCCATTATGATTGTTTGCTGGATGCCATGAAATGGGGTTAACTCAGAGATTCATTGGTCGTGTCCCATTTTCAGCCAGGGCCAAGCAAACAGAAAAGGGCCCAACTGAAAGCAGGGTGTAAGCTGGAGACTGATTAGTTAGGAAGCTATTGCTAAAGGCAGCCAGAGCGCAATCTGTCCCATGAGCTCTCTCAGAGCAGTTTTCTCTGCCCTGAGAGACTCCACTGGAAATCCCTTAATGCACTATGCCCTTCATTTATTTTTGCTACTGGACATTTGAGAGCATTTTAGAATGCTGCTTTCTGAACAGCTGCCTGATGATGGATTGTACTGAATTAAATATGTTTTTATTTCCCCCCGTGGTATGAACAGGCAAAGACTACCATCTACAGTGCGACTGTGAAACTAGATCTTTCATTTGATAAATTCACACTACTGAATAATATGGAATAATGCTGAATAATCCAAGTACAGTTCAACATCTGGATTCTACTTAGGTGAGTCTACGAATATGGAAAGTGCTCAATATTCATGACAAAACTGGTTTAGCTTAGCAGTATAAAATTACTTCTGAGTATCAACAGAGCTACTATGATTTATGTAATATAGACCAGGATGAAAAAATATTAACTTTATGTTGTTCTTTAAAAATATTTGAAAATTAAAATTACTTAAGTGTTATCTCTTTATGGCAACTTAGATACAAAATCACACAAATAACTGAGTTTAAAAAAATCCTTGTAAAATATACCACCAGTCTTCACATTAAAACAAAACAAAACCACTCATTTCATTCCGATTTCAGAAAAAAAATTGCTACATCTATTTTCCAAATTGTGAGTGACTGGCACCCCCTAGTGTTAGACTTAGAAGACAAAGTGTGTGAGGGTGTGTGTGTGTGTGTGTGTGTGTGTGTGAGTGTGAGAAATACGTTAGGAGAAAATATGGCTAATGCTGTAGAACTTGTGGAGGAAAGTGTAGAACTTCCTATCACCTTTAGAAAAGATAATTCCTTATATAGAAACAGAATTATGAGATTAGTACTGAACTCATAACAGGTTTCATGAACAGGGAAGCACTGATCTGGAAAACAACCTGTTGGGAAAATCTAAATTAGCCTAAATTATTCTATTTTCAGCTTACTTTCATTACTTATTCAGCTCATTGGCTTTATGTTTTATAATAACGTTACCTAGAATTCGTATCAATATAGCCACTATTATTTTTATATTTTACAAGACTTACCATGTACATAATACACAATTAGTGAAAATAAATGAAACAAGTTCCAGAGAATCTCCACAATTTATAGCGGGTAAATTTCTGGTTTGTCTACTGTTGTCTATTTGCTATAGGGAATAAGGCTCCTACAGTTCCTAAAGACAAGGGCCCAGAAACCCACCTTCTTCTCTACAAGACGAGGAGTTAAATACTACCTTAGTATTAACTACGTAAGCATGTAGTTTCAGGGTTCCAGCAGGTGTTTTTCGAAACTCTTCCTGGAGAATTCACAGATTAAATTTTGAGTCCATATGGAGTATGTCAGTATATAAACAGATCTGATAAATAAACCTTCTCCATGTAAATCATCTATTCTATCAATGGGCTACAGAACTTCCCCGCTGTTGACTAAAGTACACTTTGAGGATGGGGTGAAAGAAAAAGACTGTAAACAATTTACAAGAAATGTGAAAATCCCTTTTATCCCCTGCTTTACTTTCTCCTACTTAAAATTAGATAAGCAGGAAAAAAAGTACGCTGCTATTCGTATATATTCACTTCCAGAATTTGCTTTCATAAGATAATGACCTTAAGCCATCAAACATTCATGACAGCAAATGGAACATCTGTGTCCAGGACTAGTATACCTCTGATTACCTCTGGTTATAAACCAATGTAGCCTTGCTTGTGAGTGTTCAGAAATATCTTGGTTGACTGTTGTTAGAAACAAATACTGAACCAGATGATCATTACTCTGAACCATGCTACGTAATCCACATGTTCTTTAGGGACCGCATTTCCAAGATTAAAACCAAGAAGAATCTTAGGAATGTATATTTCAGCTTGTCATATTTATTCTTAAAGGGTAATTCACTTTGATTTTATTAAAAAAAAATGGTTTTGTAATTTAAAAACATGAACACATTCTGATCAGCTTGCATAACATCTGTCAAAATAGTTTAGTTATGCATTTTCTTTAGTTATCCAAAGAATAGTGTATGTCTGTATAATAGAAGAACATGTACACATATTCCTCCATGGCTAGGGCTTCCAAGAGGTTGGCCAGTAAAGCATTGACGGGATCCAGATTTGATTTATCTTCAACAAGTTTACTGTGGGACCATGGAATATATAGAACTTTAAATGGAACAGCTAACTCTCCTATAGTTTATGCATATGTATATTATTGTATGTTTAAACTTTTGAAACTGATAATTGAAGAATGGGGGAAAAAATGAATTCAGAGTAAAGCACCATATCTCCCCATCTAGTAAGTCAAGAAAGTCCATTGACCAAATGTGTCAACTTCCATGTTGGTCCTGTGTCAAAGCTCAACATCAATTTACCTATTTTTATAAACAGCACAATCTGTTTCAGAGATTAAATACCTGCTTCTCCAATTAAGAGAGCTCATATATAAATCAACATGCACTTTAAAAGAAGAGAAAATGAAAGCGGGACAACTAAGTCTCATGCTTTATTATACTAGTTTAGTTGCTTACGGGAGTACAGATCAATACAAACTGGGATAAGAAAATGTGATTTATGAATTACCGTGGTTACAAGGTTTCAAAACAGGCGCTGCAGAGGTAGAGCTGAAATTCTCTGGTACATCTGCAGATTTAAAAAAAGCCAAATAAACTAACACAAATATATTTCCAAAGGGTTAAAAAAAAATTAAATAAATAAACGGACAGAAAATTTACACTTTATCTATTTTACCAGTTATCACTTTTTTAATGCAAAGGGACCACAGAAGTATCTTGTCAGAAATAAATCCATAGTTTCTCTGGGGCAAAAGTTACAGAGCAGAATGGAAGGAAAACTTGGGGTAGAGAACCCTGATCTACAATGCAAATCTGAAGGCTGACATTTCTCTTAATCTTGACTCTGAATTACATTCTGTTCTTGGTCATGCTGCCAAACACAGGGAGAGAAAAGGTGATACTTTCAGTGGCTCATGACACTGTACAGCTGTCTCTAGACATTTTTTCATGATATCCTGAACCTACCCTCTACCAACAAAGAATTCAATTTTAATTCCAAGGGGATAAGATGTCTCCTTGAGGCTATTTAGCCAAGAGAAAAAAAGCCTAATAGCTTTTTTACCCTAACTTCAGGCCTTCTTTTTTTATTGTACATATGGGTATTTTCCTGTCATCTTCTTCTCTGGAAGAAGAAAACAAAAAACTTCATTTTTAGATTCTTTCTTTTTTTTTTCCCCCCCTTTAGAATAACAATTTTTCAACAGGTTATCTTTCTGTTCCCCCACCACCATCAATGCACACTGTTCTAACATACTCTTTTGATACCCCTAATTCGTTTTTGATGTTTCTTTTAGAACATTTCACTCTTTTGAAATTCTGAGAGCACATGACCTTTTGCTTCAGATAGGAAATCAGAAGCTTCTTCCAATAAAATGTATGCATGGATACACAATATTTTGGCACAGACACAAGGTCTTGCATGATATGCCTGGAGGCCCCCAAGGGGCCAGAAAATATTGCTGATCTGCTGTGAGACTTTTTCACTTTAGGCAAAACGACTATATTGGTAGAATCACAGTAATTTATGGAAAGCAAAAGGCAGTAAAGGATTCATAAGGTAAAGTTTTATAAATGAGTCATCACCACAACCCATTTTTCCTACAGCAAACCACCTATTTATGTAACTTGTCCCGCATAATTTCATTTAACTATTTCATTATCTTTAAAGATTGTAGTATATTTTCATTACAAAAATTATTTCTGATTTTATAAAAATATATACAGCCCTTTATACACAAACCTGATTTCTTGTTTATCCGTTATGCTTTAAATCAATTTTTCAGCAGCTTCTAGTCATTTCTGGCTGCATCCTCTTCCCACCAGGGAATTTAAAATAAAACCTCATTTTTATTGTCTCGTTGACGTGTAAAATATACTGCTCAAGTGGATGTCCCTGCTACATTTGCCTTTACTATATGAAATGGATTAAAACCACTCCAAAGCAGTTTTGGCCTGCATTTTTCCACTAATGGGTGGGTTATTTTAAATTAGGCTTGTGGCATGATTCTATAGAAAATGAGAGAGAGAGAGAGAGAGAGAGAGAGAAGTATTTACCTTTAAACTTGGGTGTCCGCTTTCTTCGGTCACGGAAAGCAGCGCCGGACTGCAGAGCCTCCAGCAAACTATCCATCACGCCTGTCTCATCATTCTCTGTAAAAAGAAATGGAGGGAATTCCTTCTGCTTTCTGGGTTACCATAGTAATGCCAAAGGATTTACAGGGATACAGGAAATACTGTAGCAATAAAAAGCTGACAATTCCAAATTCAGAGAAGCCTTTAATTTACTCATAAATCAGATTTTCAAGAAGTGAGCTCAGATAGTTTTACCCTGCAGCTGCTAAAGCAGACTTGACTTAATTTGATTAACCTCACAACAATGCATTCCAAAATGAGATACAGCAGTAATTTTAAGTGCAATGTAACTTTATCCTTATGCCTTTACGTCCCTCTAAACCTGGTATGAAACCAGGGATCATCATAACCTGAGCTTCTCTTGCAGAAATTTATCTGTAAGGACATAACCTTAGGTTAAACCAGGCATTCTTAACCTGGGGACTACCCGTACATTAAACTGTTCTCGTTCTGCTTTTTTATGGATCAGGGACGGTGGATGGATCTCTAATGCTTCCACTCTAGACCTGTAATTTATTACACTTAACTTCTGAATTATTTTTTTAAAGTAACATTGCAATGAAAAGGAAAATTCTTCACAGGACTGCCAGATATGAAGCAATAATTTCTCTCTTATAATGCTGGAGGACCTTATAAAGCTACTTACAATCTCAAGACCAGCTGAAAAACTATGCACATATAATACCCCTTGACAATAATTTCCATTTGTAACTGGAGTAACTTTTTTTAATACGCATGTATACCGTACCTGTTAAATAACTGAGCAACATCTTTGGTTTCTCAAACACAAAGGGTTGATTATACTTTTAAATGATTAGTTACCTTGGTTTTAATTGAAAGGAGCTTACAAGGAGAATAAGATTAGTACCACAAGGTTAAATGTTACAGCCATTTATTTATTTAAATATCTCTAGAGCTGTGTGGCTTAGCCATCACAGCCATTTACTTTGAGAGTAAACAATCTAGGAGTTGCTTAAGGTTTGCTTTTCTTAAGCGAGTGGTAGGTAGAAGTCAACAAGTTAAGCCTGAAATCTGGAGCAGCAGGAAAGGGCCAGCAAATACAAGTATTCATAGTTAAACTAAAACTACGTCAAGCACAAAGTCTGCCAAGTATCAAGACCCTCTGGTTGCTGATTTACAACACTGAGAAACAATAAAAGAATTTCAAACATTTAAAAATCCTTACTTAAAAAAATAGCTAATGAAGTTGCTGATAGCTTTCTGAGCTTCGTTCAAGGTTCTTCCTGTGGTGAACAAAGCCTTATGCAGTTGAGACCCAAACTGCCTGCAGGACTGTCTACTCACTTGCAAAACCTTAAATTCTCCAGCTTTGAAGAAGGCATCTTTGGCAGGTTCCAGCCCTTAGGCTGACTAACAGCAAGAGCAAATTTCTGCTTTTTCCACAATGGGAACTTCACTGGAATAAACTGTCATTGGAGTTCAGGAGGGGGCTTAAAACTTCTTCCCTGCCTCAGGCCCATCAACGTTACTATTTTGTTTGTACGTTTTTATTGTAAGCTGCCCAGAGCTATTAACAGAGTGGGTTGGCAAACAAATTTTCTGGATACAATAAATAAATCCAAGGCAAGACTCTTGTGTTGATTTAAATAATTAGTAGGAATCGTGATGAAGTAGGTGTTCTCTTACTCAAGCCAGACCTAAAGGGTTTAGAGCTTTGTCGGTAATCACCACTACTTTGTATCTCATCTGAAAACAACCTGGCAGCCAGCATTTCTTGCCAATTACACACATATACACTTGAAGTTTATAATTACTTTACTTGGAATCAGAGGCTGTCCTGTTGACAATCCTCAGGCTGCATTAAAAACCGAGCAACATTTATCTAAGAAATTATTTCTGGAGTCAAAAAGTAAACCAAGCTCTTAGTTATGCATAATCACCAGGAAACTCTCTGGGCAGTTGAACATTTAGTAGGAAGATCAAGCACTACAGAAGCTGGATAATCTAGAGCTGCTTTTGCCCTAGGATACAATTTCTTCAGGCAATACAGCTGCTTTATAGTCAAAAAGCAGAAATATATGACTATGCATATATAGACAAGAGAAAAAGAAATAAAGTTCAAAATGTTAACTACAATGGTGGACTTCAAAAAGACACAGGTTAAAAAAAGAAAAGAAAAGAATGTGTGCCTCTTGGCCCCTTAACATCATAGCAGAAGCCAAGAGGCACTTGTAACATTAACACAATCACAGTGTCCTACCATTTTTCAACCTATATTTTCTCTCTTAAAGGTCCGTTTTTTAAAATATCATGTTAAATAAGATCTATCAAAGAGCCTACATCAGTAATCGGCATTGAAAGCCTAACCTTATGTCAACCTATCAATGTTATTAGATACGCTTTTCAGAACTCCGACAGATGTCCTGGAGGACTCCTAAACCAGCCTTACATATTCATCTATTGTGTTAAGATTCTGCTGGACTGTTATATGGATGGCATTGTCTTGTTCCACCTTTTAATTTTGACAGGTTTTTCCCCTAGTTTTTCAATTATTTTATTATGTTAAGTGATTTACGGAGCCCATGAATTAACCCTAAAATGCAGATGATCAATCTTTTAAGTTTCCCGTATGTACCTGCAGCCGATCTGCTCCTCAGTGTTACTTTCCTGCCACTTCACTTTCTCCTTGATTGAGCAAAAGAAACTAATTTTGCAATCCAGCTTCCTGTTATAGGTATGAGAAGCTAGGGTTTGTTTCTTGCAGGAAGCAAGAAAGGGTTAACTGTGGGTGGACATCCTCAATTATTAAATCAGCATTTGTCTAACAGTAGCTACAGTCTGAGGATGAGGAAAATGTGAAAAGAATCCAGAAGGGATCAATCAGACTTAGACACAGCAGGGCAACCAAAGTAAATGGCCTCTTCTGCCTTAGCAACCAAGACGACCGTTTATGAAACAACTGCTCTTAATGCCATCTAGAATAATCAGGTTGCTGACCACATTACCTGTTTTCATTTCTAGCAGGTGCTTCTTCTTTTGTTGCGTTTCCCGTTTTTCTTTTTCTGCTTTTTCTTTAGCTATTCTAGCACGTCTCTGCTTTTCTTCTGCTTCTTTCCTTCTCATATTATCCTTTGCTGCTTGCTAGCAAAAACAAAAAGTTTCATCGTTACTAAATACGAAGATTTATTTTTTTAAGATTTTACTGCTTAGGTAGAATGATGGCAATTTTTTATTTGGTCCACAGAGACACAGTTCCCTTAAGGAGTGTCATCATTAGGGACCATGGGGCCAAGACTGCTCAGTTGCTCCCCCCTTCCCTGGAACAGCATTCCTTCTGACGTCAGGCTGGCCCCCAACCTACTGCTGTTCTGGAAAGCCATTAAAAGCTGGCTATTTCAGGAAGCCTCAGGAGCGGAGTTGTCAGCTGAGGAAGGCTCCTGTTATGGATTTTTGCATGCTGTTGTTACTCTTGTAATGTTTACTTTGAAACAGTTCATAGTCCTACTAGGATTAGAAAGATGTACTTGCAGTAAGCAAGCAAGTACACAAATTAAAAAATAATTTTGTTCTGTTGTGCAAAAGTAGTACTAATATTTTCGAACTTCAAATCCCCACTTGGTCACAAACTTCACAATATGCCCTTAGATGACTTGTTCTCCGAGCCTGTTTTATACACTAACTTAAAACGATGACAAGGTGAACAAAGCTTCAAATTTAGCTTTGGTTCTCTCTCACGTTTCTGAAAGAAGGATTTTGGTATAACAGTTCAACAACTGCAGAATATGCCCTACCCAGACTGGTCAATCCCATTTTAGTCTAGCCAACCCAATTCATGTAGTTCCAAAAGGCAGCAGCAATAAACAATTCTGTGTTGCTGTCAAGAAAACTACACAAGAATGTCTGCGTAATCTTCAAGAGTTGACTACAGCCTGGGGTGGAGGGGAGCAGAAATCTAATGAATGATATCTCTTAAAAAGTAGGCAGAGGCTAGGACAAAAAGAAACATAAATAAAATGTAATTAGATTTAATACATAGCAGGATTACTTATCCCAAATGATTAGAATTAAATACTATTTTGGGGGCAAAGATGGGAAATAAAACCGAACAACGACAGCAACAGTATGGAAGCACTTGAACATCTGCTATTCCAGCACAGTATATAATTTTGTTATGTGTTCTTTACCTTGAACATTGTTCTGAAGTTGTTCAAGTCAGTTAGAAATTCTTCTACTGAAACTTTCTTTAAATCAATGGCATAATATTCCATGATGTCCCGGTATAGTTTTTCCATGCTATGGTGTATCCTAGAAAGTTTCTGGAACTGCTCTTTTGCTTGAATGAGAAAGCTGTGTTAGGCTTGTTAAAGGTTTATTCAGAGTAGAGTCATATTAAGATAAGTCAGACTGAGACAGATTTTGAAAAAAACATTTCTAAGATTATTCACAAAGTACTAAAAAGTGCTAGAAAAACAGAGTGCAATAACAGATCACCTTTTCTGCTCCACAAAAAGACACAGCAGCATGTCTTTTTTCCCCCTTTTGCAACAATAGCATTTCTCTCGTGATTATGCTTGTATTTAGTATCTTTCAGAAAGGATTTCTCCTAGGAAACTAATGCAACCAGTAATTAAGCATGCCACAAACAATCCTAGCAACTTATCAAAGTGCTAACCCTCTATAACTTTATGGGGAAAAGATTGCTTATTTGATACTAAATTTACCACACAAAAAAAAAATCTTTACCATAATGCTTGGGGTTAGATTTCTATTGAAGTAAATATTATAAAGGATATGTACATATTATCTAGTACAACTGGGGGGGGGGAGTTGTATGTAAATCAATCTTTTTTATTTATTATAACCTTTAGCCAGCAAATAAAACAGAAATTTTTTAAAAAGAGGATAGTCAAAATAAACACAAATAAGCATCTACAGCAATACATCATGCATCTTAAATCTTACTATGGATCCCCTGTCGAAGCCTTGATGCCAGATAACAAAATGTTGCAACATTGTTGGTTGTATAAAAAGCCTTATCAGCAGGTAGAAAATCGTCACAGAAACAGCTAGGGATTGCTGCTAGAAGGGAAAGAATAAGATTTTGATGCAATGTCGTATGCATCATTTATTCCAGATAAATGGCAACTATTTCAACTACTGCAGATGCTTGGGTAAAGAATGTGTATTTTCATGCCAATTGCTGTCAGTGTTTGCAAAAGCCAGACAATGTTTCATCAAGGCTTAAAATTGTGGGATTGATTTTGATACACTATTAGGAAAAAAACCTACATAAATCATTTAATTAAAAAGTCCCCGTTCACGTAATTATCTATTTACTTGTTGCAAGTGCTTAATATTTTTTCTTATGCAACATTTTCAAAATGATTACAGTGCCATGATTATTTATTAAACATGTTGTACAGAATTTATTTAAATTTATTACTGCATAGAACACTTCTATTTTATCAGTTCTACTGCAGCACTGGAGGCTTTCTTGTCTCTATACAAAACCCAATAATCAATCTGAGCTATGTTTGGCTTTATTTGTATGTTTCAACCCCCCCCCCCCCACAGCCCCAAAACCTGGAGCTTTACAAAATCTACATTAAGTATCATGCTCAGAAATCATGAAAAGGTGCAGCTACTAATGAAGCAATGTTTCTAAACTGAGTGCCTCCAGGGCTTTTAGATTGTCAGCTGTTACCAGTTCACTAAATGTAATAGAAAACCTTCATTCAGAGGACATTTATTACCGCAAGCCTTACTGGCATTTTGATTTACTGTATTATTCACAGGAATCTTCCCCCCCCCACCCCAGAGTCATTACCTTCAAGTGGGGAAGTGGGTGTCAAAAGACTTGCAGATGCCTTTGAAGATTAATCCTTGACAGTAACCCTTTTTGCAACAACTAAACCCAGCTTCTCTGCAGAACAGAGGCGTCTTTCATTTCTTTCCCTTTTTTCCCCGTCCCTTGTTATTGTGGTTAGAAGGGAGGGGAACTCATGCACATATTCATGTATTTCTAAGTACGAGACTGGCTTACGTGTCTAGGATAGAGTGGTTAAGAGTGTGCAATAAATTCTGGAAAAAAAGAAGTGAAATATAACATACTAATCTGGCCATAAAATCAATTTTCAATTAAAAATGGATTTGCTATCTTTAAATAGCCCTTCAAAATAAGAAACAAGATATAAAGACAAAAGAAAAGCTAATGAGTAGCATTAAAATAGTACATCCTTTTTTTGCTGTAATTTACTTTGTAAATCATATGTGCGTGTTTGTGTTTAAGTTTTTAAATACTTTGCAAAAAATCTTTGTTTAACTTAGTGTTTAAATCCAGAGAAGCATCAGATAGCAGTAGAGCTACAGAAGACTGACGGCCCCCTACAGATGGCCCTGATTTTTGCTACCCAGATAGGATAAACCTAATCTATATTCTGATATAATTCTGACTTCTTTCTCCATTATAGTTGCATGGACTTAATGTCTGAGCTGATTTCTCTAATTTTCCATCTACAACCAAATGCCACAAAAAAGCAGAGCTGTACATAAACAGGTCTGCAAAAACCTGAAACACCGACAGATGGCCGCAGAGAGTATTCAGAATCACTCTGCTACCATCCACTGGACTTGCAAGTCCAGATGCAATGGCCCTAATATAAACAGAGTAGTGGGTCATCTTAAGATATTGTAGCTGAGTTGCCTATAGAATACAAGCTTATGCTGAATGAAACTTTAAAGGAACCTCATCCTGCCTTTCTTTAATTTCTGATGGTGCTTCTTTACCGGGCACTGTTCTAAAAACCAAACCATTCTGTTTGCCAGCCATAACAATAATAGCTAGAACAGGTTCTTCAGGCTACGTAGCATCACCTCAGCATCTCGCTTGCTGACAGGGACCCACTGGCTTTGATGAGAGACAGTCTCTACGTTTATTGCTGACCGGAAATCCCTTATGGAATTTTCACATAAAACTGGGAAAAGAGTGAACGTGTGATTTATGGTTTTGATGATTAAATAGGATAGATTATAGAAAGAAGAGAGTATGATGTAACCTTAGAGAGGTTGAAAAGTAATTGTATTTATAACTGCTGCGAAGAATATAGGAAGCTACTTCTTTATACTTTTATATCTTTCTTTATATCTCTTTTTTCTCTTCTCTGATTGCACTTTTAGATTTTTCTGTTACTTCTCTTTTTCTTTTTCCCTGCCCTAATTTAGTTTCCATTCGTTCTTATTGTTCTTCAAATTTTTTAAAAATGATGGATGGATGGATGGATGGATGGATGGATGGATAG